CTTACAATGCAGGAAGCTCCCATGGCTTGCTTTACATCCTATTTCTTTCCCGCCTCTTTCTGCCTGTCAGACAACAAAAAATTTGTTTATTTCTGACTAGAGGATGATAATTACCTGGTTGTGATCCCTGAAGATCTCAAGAACTTATTTTTCTACTTTTGGGTTTTTCATTGTTGGCTATATTTTAGTTTGTTGATTTTTGTCAGATCCCTTAGCTCTGTTATGAAAAACCTGAAATTTCTGTAAGTCAGGGTTCACGTTTGGTGCACCAAATCAGCTTTTGTGCTATGGGTTTTTCAGTATATCACTTTGCTGCCTTCTCATCTCCCTAAAACTCTGTTTTATGATGAAACATACAGAATTTCAGAAATTTCCAGGATTTCAAAGATGTTGTAGCTCTTTCTGCAGCTACAGGGTCTCACTTCCACCACCTGTTGGAAGAAAGAAGAACCCAACAAGGTGACCAAAGGCAGGTCCAGAGAGTAAATGAATCCTTCTCTTCCTTCTCAGATTAATTTGATCCGAATTGATGAAGTGATCAAAGATAGGCTGGCTTATGAGAGTAAGTAGATGGCGTCAAAAAATGGCCACTTCTAAGGCAGAAGCAAAAGGAAGCTTGACGTCCTCTAGCTGTGGCCCTGCATAACTTCCCTCACAGTAGTAACAGCACGTGAATTCACATGTGTCTGAACAAAGATATTTAATAAGTCTGTGCAGTTTGGACACCAAGCTACCAACATTCAATGTGTTCCTCAACACCTGTCTAATCAGAAGTGATACCAAACCAAAGAAAGCATAGGCAGCTCTGTTTCTTGCAATGGGTAAAACCTTGTAATTTAGTTGCTGTTTATGTAATTCCAATTATTCCTGCAAGGAAAGCAGATGACTATGAAAAAAAGGGATACAGAGATCTGCCCCTATTGTCAGTGTCCTGCTGAGTTGCAGCCGAGTCCAGCTGGGTTGGTTGTGACACAGGATGTAAACCAGCCTGTGAGTCTTCTGTCAGTCTTTTCATCTCAGCACTGTCATCTCACCCATCTCCATGAAGCTCCATGATCCCAACTCTCTTTTAACCACAGGAATCAGCAGCACTGTCTATCAACTTCCATCAGGACTGCTCTGTTGGCTTCAGGAGCTTCTATTTTTTCCTCCTGCTTCAATTCCTCCTTATAACCACTGGGCTTGAAGGGTTTCCAAATGTCAGCTTCAGTCACAAGCTGGCTTGTCCCAAATGGTATCCCTTCAGGTACCAGGTAGTTTTGGTGCAAAAGGTTGCTCTGTCACCTGGCACATGGAGTTTGTGGCTGTGTCTGTGTTTCTCCCTCAGTATCAAGTCAGTTGGCAGCAGACATTTTAAGACCTGTGGTTCCTGCTCTGCTGTAAATATAAATATACCATTGTATCTCTTTCGTTGAGAATAGCACAGAAAACCCTTGCTCTTCGTCTTTCTTGATGTCTTCTCATTTTCAGAGAGAGAAGGAAAAGCAATAAAACATAGTAATAAAAGATTAGCTCCTAATTCTTAAATCTGGTCTATTTAAGCAAGAGTAAGGCACTCATTCACTACTTATAAGTGCACTACAGAGCACTTGATTTCCAATTTAAGATTAGTTTTAGTAACTCGTTATGTCTTCTCTCAGAGTAAATGTGCAGGAGCGAAGAATTAATCTGGCAGTCCCTGCTGCTGTTTCACACAATTGCTGTGTGTCTCAGCTGCCTCAGGGAAATTCAGAGTGACCAGCCACATATAGCCCAGCCAGGAAGCCCTTAGTGTCAGCAGGGTTGTGACAATATTTTTGAAACCCCTTGCAAAGATATGCTCAGGCTTTCACCCGCACAAAATTCAGTGGATTATATCTCCTTGCTGGTCTGCTGACTTCTGGGAATATTCAGCTGGCAAGTATGGCTCCTGGTTTCTAAAGTAGTGAGTCATGGTGGTCATTATTGCAGTGTACAGTCACTGTGCAATAATTCAAACCACCATTGTCATTATTATTGCCTCCAACAAGCAACCTGATACCTTCTGCAACCCCAGGGCAGGTATGTGAATGTAATCACTGTGCAATTAATTAGCCTGTGCTGCCAGTCAGTATGAAGCACACAGCTCCCTGTTCCCAACTGAATCCAATTTAGCAGAACCACTGCAAGATTTAAACATACTTTACAGTAAGAACTCAGTAAAAGAAAAGAAAAGCAGGCAGCTCTAGGGACAGCTTTTCAGCTTCACATCACACCTAGCAAAATGAGCACCTGCCTCTATCAGCCAAAGGTTTTTGCAGGACTGTGGGACAAGAACAGAGTTTTTATGTTATTTTTGAAAACTGAGGGTTTAGAAATCATCTGCTGCATGAATTCTGAGTGAGCAAACCGGAAAGGCCAGCTGCTCACCACGGTGGCCCTGGAAATCCCTTCAACTGGCAGCACAGCAAGAACCCAGGAGCTGCCTGGGCTCCCTCCTCTCTGTGCAGCCACAGAGCTGCAGTAGAGCCAGATTAAATTGCTGGATTAAGCATTCCCACAGCCCCATCCAAATCTTTGTGACAGCTGTGCCCAGGACAGAAGTCAAGCATTGGTGCCATAACTGCGTCAACTGGTGTGTCATGGGTCACAGCATGACAGCTGACAAAGGTCTGGGGGGTCATTCACTCCCATTTCTTAGCCAGCACAGATTTGATTCAATAAAGTGTGTTCTACTGCTCCAAACTCGGCATTTTAAGAGATTTGGGCAGTGCAGTCCTGTTCCTTTTCTTTTGGGAATTTATCCATCCTCTCTTATAACACTGACAGGAAACGTCTCACCAAACATTCCCCTGATTCCATATGATCCCATTAATGACTCTTCCTACCTCTCCTTTTGCCAAAGTCTCCCCTTTCACTCATCTGTGCTTTTCTCCCTCTCTACAGGCACAAGAGCCTGCTTAGCTCCTTCTAGGCTGGTCTGGCTTTTGAGAGGAGTATACCTCATCCTTGAGAGCCCAAAATGTTGAACTCCTGCTCTGCCAAAAAAAAAAAGCCTTTTCCACTGCCCTAAATTTGCTGCACTGAAGGACTCCACACACTCAAATAATGAGATTTTCCATTAAGGCAAACACTTCCAGGTTCTTACTTTTTCATCTTGTATATCTGAGTTTGGAATTATTTTCAATTTTCTACCCATTCTCCAAAATTGTGAGCCTACATGCAGCCACATGTATTTTATATCTGTTATTTTTCTTCACCAGTCTGTTCTTGTGGCCAAACCCCAGTTGGTGCTGTGAGCAGGGCTCTCAGATGTTGTGCCCATGGGAGGGAGCAGAGGGATGGATTCCTGCACCTGTGGGGAACATTTCAGGTTCCAGGGTCACTGTGTTCCTGATGCTCACCAGGTCCAAGCTGGTTTGTGTTACTCTCCTGACTTTGTTGATAACCCTCATTTCCCTCCAGGCAATGGGATTCAGATTTTGCTGGCCCTACCATAGATAATTAATGGCTAACAAAGTCCCACACTGCAGGGGCTATGGCTGTACATGTCACCTTCTGGTGCCACAGTAGGACATTACCAGCACTGGCCTCCTTTTGATTTAGGTTTCACACACCATTCAGATGTGATCAAGTTCGTGTCTATGTGACTAATTAGGGGAGTAATTTGTGCTGTTATGAAACATTTCACTATATGTCAACTTTCCCTTCAGTTCATTACTTCTTTCCCACTACTGAGTATGAATATTGCCATCCAACACATGTTTTCCTTTCACATGGTTACAAGACTTTTTTGGTTGTTGTTTCTTTTGTAAAAAACCCCCAAGAGATGACTCAGGGTAACTTCCAAAAGCTGTCTTCCACTGTTTTACTCTATATATTCAGATGATATTGATTAAAATCACATGCTGTTACATCTGAAAGAAATTCCCTCACCTATGTGACAAGCTGGGCTTCTATCACAAGTAAAGATAGTTTCCTTCTTTCAATTTGATTTTTTTTGAAAAGCACAGTTCTTTCATTCCTACTGTCTTGACTATGATCTTTAAAAATGATTTATGAAAATCAAGATTCTGTGAACCAATACCCTTAATCTACAACTGGAATTACAGAGGAACCTGTATTTTCCAGGAAAGCTGTCTGTGAAGGGTTGAAAAAGAAAAAAACTGCTAAAAATAAAATCTCTGTGTTGCTTTTGGGATTTGAAAGACTATTTTTACACAAACTGACTTTTGGGACAGACTTGCTGTGTTATTAGGTAAGGCCTTTGAAATTACTCTCTTTTAGAAATTTAAGACTGAGCTTATTTGAAATGTAGTACCTTAAGATCTGTATCTTTTAAAAAACGAAAAATATTTGAAGTAAGACCAAATAAAAAGCGAGGGTCCTATTTTCAGCTCTGACATCTCAGCAGAAAATTAGAGCAGCAAAACACTTTTTGTGTATGTTCTCTTACATTTTCTTTAAATGTAAAATCAATTAATCAAATGAATGACAAGTCTGCATCCCCATGAGTCCATGGTCTTACCCAGTAGAGCTCTTGTGACCAGACTTTTCAGTACAAGTATTTTCACTACCTGAAGTGTTCAGCACATGTATAAATACTTTGTCAAATCAGCATCATAGCTCAAAGCCAGTATTTAACACCAGTCTGCCATCAGACTGCAGGAATTCCTCTGCTGCATTGCTACTTTTGAAGCCATGAAACGTCTCTCAGACCCTTGAGCTGGAGGTGGCATCCAGGGGACAGGCATGCTCCATCCTCTGTGGCTCTGTCCTTGCCTGTGCATCCCTTACCTGTGTCTGTGAGCACCTGTACTTTGGCAGCATTGGTGGGTGAGCCAAAACCAGCAGAGTTCAGCCCAAAGCACCCTGCCAGCCTGCTGTCATACCAATGTGCCCGGGGTTTGATGCCCCTCAAGGACCATTCCTGATGTCTAAGTGCTCCTGTGTCTGCCTCTGTGTTTGCACTTACAGTCCTCACTCCCTGCAGTTTTCCGTTTGCAGTTCTGCTTACCAGGGACTCCCTTGCTGTGTTTCAGCCCTGTCAGAGATCCCAGTGAAGAGGAGGAGACACATCTCTGTCAGGCCATTGCTGTGCGAAATTGCCTCCAGCTTCCCGGGATCAGCATCCTTGACAAGCTCATCAAGACGTGTCCTGTCTGGCTTCAGCTGAACATGAGCCAGGAAAGGGCTGGGGCGATCCTTGGCAAGGAAACAGCAGGGGTAAGTCCAAAGTGATTTCAGTTCAGACAACCACATTTCCTGCCCTTGGTTAGGAGAGCAGTGCTTTTTATTTATGTGGAAGCAAAAATATTTAGCAGACTGCTCTCTGTTTCCATTACCGTTTGATGCTTTGCCTCTCTCAACAGCACAAACCAGATATATTTGCTTTGGGAAAACAAGGAATATTATCTCTGGTTTTATTTGCTTAACATGTAGATTCATGGAGATGGCTTCCCATTCCCCACCATACCCACAAGTACGGTGATTATCCTACTCTGGAGTAATGAAAAAAATCCATGAAGAAAAGGACCTTAGATTCAGGGAGCTGCTGGTAGTCATTTTTATTGCAACAATTGGTATCTGGTTTGTATAAACCGAGTATTAGAGAATTATACACTTGTGCAAAGCGCAGAGCTTGCTTAAGGAAAACATCTCTGTGCCAAAGGGAGCTGCTCCCCTTTCCTGAGAGGTCTGAGAGGTGAGGTATAGCAGGCTGTAGATGTCCCAGCTGGATCCTTTGGGAAGGGTAGTACAAATGACCTGACCTGATCAGGGCACACCAGCTCTGAGGACGTTTGGACCTGTTCCTTGGCTGAGTCAGTCTATCCCAGGGCTAAATGCTGGCACAGCTGAGTGACACCCTCCAGTGGGATTCACCTGAGCAGCCTGGGCTGTGCAGTGCATTGCACCCTGAACCAGATTTCTCAATTAGATTGAGCAAGTAATTCTCTTTGTTTTTCTGCTCTGTGTGTAAGTGGAGATGTGCATGACTGTGATGTAGCCACGTATGGCCCCGAGCCTCCTCAGCCAGTACCCATTTGCCTGCAGGCAGAGAGTTCCCCACCTCTGAGTGGCTTTGGGAAAACATCTTGCTCAGTTCCTCCTGCTCACACTGTCCTTGAGCACAGCTTCCAGCTGCAGTTAGAAGCAGGCAAGAGAAGAGGTGATGCACCAGGTGTCCCATGGCAAGGGCAGGATCTCCTGTCCTCTATGAGCCCTCCTGAAACTGGGCAGCACCATTCCCACTTGTGTGAAAACAGAAGAGACTGATTTCAATACTGATCCTGACCCAGGCTGTAGGGTTAAGGACAGCTCACAAAACCCACTCCTACTTCTCTGAACAGCCATAGTCCAATTTTAGCCTTTGGCTCCATGGCAACGAGGCGTGCTGATCAGGAAAAAAGAAGTGATTCATTTCCAGGTTTCATTTCTCTGGTTGCTTAGATTAAATTTGAGATGCAGCAATGCAAGATGGTGCTATCTGGCAGTCATGGTTAGAGGGACAGCACTGCCATGTGGGTGGTAGGACCTGGGCAAGGGAGAGCATCTCCCTGCAGATACTGCCTGCCTCCTACGTGCAGACACTTACTGCAATGGAAGGCAGAAATCAGCCTGTTTAGGGCATACACCTGGGCATTTATTTGCATTTTCTCTGCCCCGATGGGGGACCTGAGCCCCTGGGGCTCCATTTCTTCTGAACTCAGTGGCCAAGATGACAGCACTGTGTGAGGTTGCAAAGCAGCCCCAAGGCTGTGTTCAGCATGGGTGCTTCAAAGTGACTGGAGATGCCCTTACCACTGGGACTCAGGCAGGAAAAGGTCCTGGCTTCTAGACAAGCTTTTTAAAAATTCCTGTGCCCAAGAAATTAGTGTTTTTTTCACTAGATTTCCATACATTACAGTTGATTAATGATTTTATCAACTCACACTTCTCTTTCTAATATGAATACCCAGGCTACAAAATAAGCTTGATGTTTTAATTCAGTTTTTTTTAAAATACCTTGACTCCCTTCTGCCTAAGCTTACTATCAAAGAAAAGATGAAGGTGAACATTTTATCTTTCTATCTGTACCTTCAAAATACAAGCTAAAAATATCCCTGACAACGAGCTTTAAATAGAAACATACTTAGGATCTCACACAATACAAAGAAGGAGGTATTTTTCGTTTTTCTTGGAGGAGCAGCTCTGTGGGAAAGCACCTGTAGGGATGGTGGGCAGCGAACTGGGCACAGCCCCACTGAGCAGAGGCTGTGGGACCAGGGCTTGTTCAGCCAGAAGACAACTTCAGGGGAGCCCACAGCAACCCCTGGGACCTGCAGGGCTCATGGAGAAGATGAAGCCAGGCTGTGCTCAGCTCTGCAGGGTGGGAGGACAAGAGGCAACAGCGTTCATGGAAACCAGAGGGGCTCAGGCTGGGTGCAGGGAAACATTTGCTCCCCGTGAGGACTATAAGGGGTGGGACAGGTTGCCAAGAGAGGCTGTGCAGTCTCCATCCTTGGACATTCTCCAGACTTGTACAGACAAATCCCTGAGAAACTTGGTCTGGCCTCATGGCTTCACCCAGGGGATTGGAGAAGGGTCCTCCCAGGATACCTGCCAGCCTGAATGATCTTCTGGTCCCAGAAAAAAGCTCTGCCATGGGCACTGTGGCCACCAGAGCCTTTGGCCTTATGTTCCACTCATGAACACTCAAATCCTTATGGACTAAATGTACAAGTGACTCCCTTGCTTTAGACCTGGAATGGGACGTTCTAGGGTGACTCATCTGGGATTTAGGGCACTGATGTGAAGACCATTACTTAATAAATTATAAGTGCAGGTTTAAACTCTTTAGTTAGTGAAATAGTTTGCTTTAGGCGTAAGTGGGACATCAGTGATGCATAGAAACTGTCCCTTCACAGGTCTGAATTTCACTTAGATGAAATGTCCCTATCGCCATTATTTTTGTTGTAAAAAGCATAAGTGGAACAAAGCTAAAATATTAGCTATTTAAAGGCTATTTAAAGGTGGATTGTACTGATAAAATTCTACACTGCCAATGACCTAAAATAAAGTTTAGAAGCTCACATAATGTAGCTGAGCTCTTGATTCTTTTCTCTTTTTTCAGATATTCTTAGTTAGGAAAGAGGGTAATGTGAACAACATGGTCCTTGCAGTCCGCCTGCCAGTGCAGAATGAGGCTCCTGATGTGCTGGAGTACAACATTAAAGAAGAAAAATCAAGTAAGGACTTTACATTTTCTGGTCTTGGTATGGTTTTGTATTGAGTCCTCTTCTGATCACCAATATTTATGTAATCTCACTTGCACTGAACAGGTTCCCCTTGTGACCAGCAGCAGATCTTGCTTTTATGGTGTAGTTCAGTTAATATTTCCTACAGCTGCTTTACCTCAGCTCCCCTGCGGTTCTGCACCTTTATTATCATTTACAGACTCACAGTGGGGAAATAAAGCACCTCCAGATGAGGAGGCCAGTGCTTTGATCGTGTGAGGGGAGCTGCCTTTCACCAGCTGGAAGTCCTGAGGAAAGTGGAAAGCAGTGGCAGACTAAGCCTTGTTAACTCACTGATTCTGTCACTATTTAAGCCACTGAATTTGGGGGTCACCAGTCATCTGACATCTGCTATGTTGCCTTTTCATGCACCTCATACAGTCACACTGAGCAGCAAGTTACTCCTAAACTTTCTGTTTTCAAAGCCAGCCAGGGGTGCAGATGACTGCTGGTATTGGTGCTATTCCCAGCTGGATAGCCAAGTCTGCCATGAGCAAGGGAAAATTAACCCAGCTTGCAGTCAGCCACGTCTAATGCAGCTCTCTGTGTGAATGGATGTGTAAGGCACATGATTTCCACTTTCAAAGGAATATTTGGAGACACCCAAGTCTTAGGATAGTTATAAAAACACACACTCAAAAAAGTTCATAAAAATAACTTCACACTATTTATTTATCGGAACACATCTTAATCTCTGCCACTGAGCTTTGTCCCAAAGTCAGCTCCCCAGAGAAACTGTTTTATTCTCTTGTGCTTTTTGTGCTTCTGCACATCAATGTTGCAACATTACTTTCCCTTTGTTCAAATGAACTTTTACAGTTGCTTAAATAGTTTTTCCTTCTGCTATATTTCTTTGCATACCTCTGCACGGTAAACAGACTTTAAAGCCAAAGGTACAATTGAATCTCTTAAACTGCTCTAATCTCAAGGCCAGACACTGTCACAGCACTGCTCCTGCACAGGGTGCAGCTCCCTGTCTGGCTGCTGCATCCCCCTGGGAATCTTTCTCTCTCATCTGCCTGCTCCTGGGAGCACCCAGCTGCAGAGATGTTCAGTGTTCAGTGCTCCCAAGTGAGGGCAGGAACAGAAAACCTTTTGCCACAATTTCAGGTGTTCAATTAAGAATACAAGGGCAAGGGTTAGCTGCAGGGTAGGGAAACCTTTTCTTTATTTAGCTATTTGAACTTGACCCAGGACTTAGATTTTTCGTGGTGGGGAATCAGCTTTTGATGATTCAAGCTTTCTTTTGGATAAAAGTTGAAAAATCAAATCGTGTCATCCTAAAAAATGTCATTTATAGAAATGTTAACTTCTTGACTCATGTCCTGTGCCATAAAATCTCATTTCTTTTAGGACAGGCAAAGTAAAATGTAGTACAAAAAGGTCACTGAGCTAGCCTATCTAGAGTGACTTTGCTGCCCTTTTTTTCCAACTTGCTTACTTTTTCTAATTTATCACTACCTTAATGCAAAGGATGTATTGGGAGTCAAGCTTTCTGGTAGAAGCAAGAATTAAATCAGTTTCTGCTACTTTCATACAAGTTGCAAAGTAACTGGAAGAAGGTAATTAAAATTCAGCTCTCATTCATAAAGCAGGAAAGGTGCAATCACATGGAACAATCCCAGAGGCTCATGTGTTCCTGTGGTGGATATTCACATTATTTTTAGCTTGAGTTCATGTCAGTTGGTAGAAAGTCTCTCAGTTCTCCATCCTGCACTGTGTTGACAAGAACACACTGGGTACAGAAGTGGTCTTTTGTTTCTTTTCTTATTTAGGGCAAGTACCCTGGGTTTTAAATTTTAAAGAAATTGAATGATTTTTTGTTAATAAAGCTGAAGGGCTGTACTTAGTACAAGGAGAGATGGTAAATCTTCTGTGTCACAGAGTAATCTAATACTTTAGGTAATTAACTAATTATTTATCTTTTTAACTGCATTACTACACTGGCTTCTAAACTTTTTTTCAGAAATAAAATCAAAATATGTCAAAATGCTTTAAAATAATTTAGAACCTGAGCTTCCTTGACAAGTAACCTGGTATGTCTGGATTGCCTCAGATTAATGATCTGCCCTTCACTCATCCCTGGTATTCTGTAAGTGTCAGGGTAGGAGACCTCTGAGCACCCACAGAGATACTCTCTTGCTGTGGAATGCAAGTTGGAAGTTTGGTGTTACATTCCTGAAAATATGTAAAACACCCCAGCTGAATAGCCTGAGGGCCACTGTGGACTGGCAGGGTTCTTCCAAACATCTATTCTTTAATTTCAGAAAATCTCTCTTTCCTTTCTGAGTTGACACGTAAGCAATGATCTGTGTGACGTGCTCCAGGGAGGGCTGTTTGTCACTTTCTGAGAGCTGGCTCCTCCTAAAGCATTTGGAGAAGTGGGAACAAATTCTTGTTACCTCAGTTCAACTCGTTAGACTCCACACAATTGATGCATTCAGGTGTAAACTGAAATCTGAATTTGCCTTGACATATAGAGTTCTGATTTTATGGAGAGCCTTCCTTCAGTTAAAATTCAAGTTGCAACCTAGCAGAATTCAAGTGGCAACCAGCTTACTATTTTGAATAACCTTGCCAGCTACTTATTGTCTTTGGCTGTTTGTAGAGTCATCCTCATTCCACCCTGCTTCTCAGTCAGGGTCTGAGGAGGCCTTTCCCTGGTATCATGATGATGGTACAGAGGTTGTTGCCCAGCCCCTGTGTTCCACACAGGGATGGCCATTCAATGAAGTACAAAAACAACCTTCAGAATTTTCTTGGCATTGCACTGCCAAATAAGAGTGGTTCATTGTTTTACTGTTTCTTTTCCCCATATAAACTTTGTTGATATTTGGTGAAATATTTAGGGAAGTCTAGTTGTCTGATGGGAAGACTGTATTTAATTGTGTTTTCTCTTTTTAAATGGAAATCCCCAAAGAACCCACTAAGTAAGAGAATAAAGAAATGAAACCTCTTTCCTTTTTTTTTTCCTTTTTTTTTTATTTTTTGTTTACTGGGGATATTTTCACGTCTTCTGTGAAGTAACCCTTAGAGAGAACAGGAGAATGGACTTTACAATTTTTCTTCTGGTTCTTTTTGGTTGTAATTCTTCCAGAGACAGGGCAGCTAAATCCCAGTGGTATCAGTAGCTACAGAAGAGACCAGTGATACCAGGTACCATATGGTTCATCAGAAAGCTGAGAAACCTGACAAGTTTCAAAGCCTTGGATCTCTGTGGTTTTGCACTTGGCATGAAGGATCCCGTATTTCTAACTCAAAGCAGTGGAAATCTCCCAGACCTAAAGCTTCTTAGATTTCTACCATTTAGAGATGCAGTGTTGGCAGCTACCTCTCAATCTTTGCCAAAATCTCGACTACTTTGTGCACTTTCTATTCTTAGAGTTGCCCCTTACATCTGCTTCATTCTGAGATGGAGCCCCAGCCTCACAAACTGAGCATTCCTTCCTCAGCTGATTCCTGCCCTTGGCTCTTCCCAGAAAATTGGTGGCAACCTCAGGCCCTAATTGTCCCTCCTTTTCAGGTATAAGCCTTCAGAAGTCATCCTGCTGACCTCAGCTCCATTGCAGCAGTATCAAAAAGGGAAGAATCAGGTGTTTAAAGTACGTGTGCATTGCCGAAGTAGTGTATACTGGGAGCTTGGGTGAAGCATCTAAGCACCATAAACCATGTAGTGCAGGTAGTGACAGCAGCTTTTACTTTCACAGAGTCATTAAGGCACCTGCCACGGGCATAAAGTCCTTTAATAGAGGAATGTTCTATCACCATAAACCGAGGTTAATAGTTTCTTTTTTTCATGGGAAACATTATGAATAATATCTGAAAATAATTTGATTTCACAAAACACACGAGTTGATCACATACTTCCCAGGAATCTTTTACATATGCTTTGGTGTGGGATGCGTAGTAATTGTTTTCCAAGCTCTTCTATACCAAGAAAAAAAGGATGTGATTCCTTTTCAAGTAAGCAAAATGGCACTAAACAGAAGTATCTGCAGTTTCACAGAATAAGGAACATATTGTTCATATTACTAGATTTTTCAAAAATAGAAGCATCAATGAAATTTGTTTTCTAAGTCCAGCTTGGACTCTTCAGGTTCATGTCATAAGGGCTTTGAGGCTGGCCTGATCCTGCCATAGCTGCCCATCTCCTGTAATCATGCTCCTGCCTCCCCCATGCTGCAGCTGGCTTAGCTCACTTGCAGGTGTATTTTTGGAGGCAGACCACACGAGCCCACGTTGTTGAGTTGCTGTCCTTGTTCCTTATTTAAGCTGTACCTGGGGGGACGCTCTGCCACCAGACTCAACTGTTCAGAAGCAGCTTTTACAACACATGGGGCCGAGGCTGAGTTGAGCCCCCCAAAATCAATGAGTGCACAGATGAAGAAGGGGTTGGTAGTGAAGTCTTGGCTTTAGTGTGGCTATTTCATTTATTAGAGGAAAATTGTGAGACTTAAAATTCTCTGTGCTCTGACCCTCCAAGCTCCCCTGCAGACCAACTCTGAATGAGCTGGAATTTAACAGTGGTCTTGAAATAATCTTAGGAAAATCAAATAGGAAAACCAAAATAAATTATCTCCAAGTAATACAAAAATATCCAGAACATGATTAATACCTCCTTTGAAGGATGAGACACGGTGCTATTGGACACGGTGGCTTATACTCAATTTCTGGTTTATGGACAGCAGCTGTACTCCAGGCTGTGTGGTATGAGCTTGTGGTAAGGACCTACAATACACCTTGACAGAAAAGGTGCAGGCAATTACTGCACTCCAAAGCAGTTTAAGAGCAATCACTGAGTGTTGCTGCAAAATTGCAGTTCTGGTAGCAAAAAGGATGTTGATAAAGAAATCCAATGTCTGCCCTGGTCACCTTATTTGACCTTTTCTTAAAGTCAGACTGAGCTCAGGAAGTGCAGAGTGGAGTTTGATATAAAATGCTTGAGACAGGAA